TTTGGATATTTGTAAAAATTTTAAAAAAAATAAATTTCAAAACAAAGAAAATATCCAATGATCTATTTCTAATGGATATTCAATAGTTATTTCATTTCAAATTTATTTATTTTATCATTATAAATATATAGGTTAAAAATTCAATTTTATTTTTAAGCCAGGCTCTAAAATAATTCTTGAAAATTCATTGACCCGATATGAATTTTCATTTTTGATCATTTTAACTGCCCAACCTGTCTCCGGATTATTAAAATTGCGATTTTTGAAATTTTAACTGTATTTAAATCGTTCCAAAGAGAAATGGGGGATATGGGCAATAATGTCCATTATGTTATAACATTTTACAATGACTAAATGAATATATTTAAATTTCTTGAATTTTTTTTAAAATTTTTATAACCCGGCCCGAATTTTAGTTATGTTATGTTATTTTTGGCTCGTCTGAGGTTCGGTCGGTTCTAACCTTCCAGGATTTTTGATATAAATCTAAATGTAACCAATCATAATACTATTATAAAACTTAAATAATTATTTTGATATTTGAATAATAAAATTGTTATATGCCATTATAGCGATGAATATTTTCGAAAAAAAAAATATTTCCGCGAATGCATTGCCATCGTAAAAATATTACTTCCGAATGTATTTCGGCCACGAATTACCTTAATGATAATATTTTAACGTATGTTTACGGTAATCATCAAGGAATATTGTTTTGTGGTTAATTTACTAGTTACAAAAATATATTATATTATTTTAAAATTTAATATAATTATTTTTTGTTAGGAGTAGGCAGTGGCGTAGCCAGGATTTTATCATGGGGGGGGGGGGGGTTGGGATTTTTTTTTGGGAGTTGGCTTTGCCCCCCAAACTTTCTTTTTTGAACACTTAATTGCTTATATTTTTGGATTTGTTAAAATTGTTTTATATTTTCATATAACAATTAGGGTATTTTATTATATATTTTACATTCCTTTATTTAATCATGTATATATTTTTATTAATTAAAATATTTTCAAAATGTTGATATTTTATATAATACAGATTTTAATATTAAAAATTATAATGTATAAAGACTCTATTTTAAAAAAAGTAATTTTTTACAATTATATAAAATATGTGTAATTCTTATGCAAATAATGGTATTTAAAAAAATATGATATTATTATTATCTTATAAATAATACTTTTTTTACAAAAAATTGATTATATATTAAAACTAATAAAATTTTATTGCTATTTTTTGATTTGAATTTAAAAAGAGAGATCTACTTTTCTCTGAGATTTTGCTAATTCATCTAAAATCAAATTTTTATCTAAAATAATCTCCTTATAAACGTTTTTCACCGGTTGTGTTTCTTAAATAGGTTTTTAACCTTTTTAAAGTTGAAAAAGACTTTTCATTAGTGCAGGTACTAATGGACAAGGTAGCTAAAATAATTAATAATGTTTTGATATTAGGCAGAATCTAAAATGCAATTACACATAGAAAGGGCTTGCAGAGAATTTTTTGTTCTCAAATAATACCCTATTCTGTCAAGATTTTTATACCAAAATTCGACATCACAAAGTAACTTATCATATGAACCTACTAAATCATCAGCATAAAACTCTGAGATTTTTTTAATATCCTCTCGTGTTTCAAGTGTAATCAACAGTTTAGACTCAAAAGGCAAAAAAAAATAAAAGCTTTTTAAATATAATTATGACTAATAAATCTTTCTTTTAATTGAAATAAAAATGTATCAATAAGGAAAATAAAAATGATTATTTTATAAAAATCCTCAATCGTAGATGCATCAATATTTGATCGATTGGATTGTCTAGAGACTACTCTAGGTTTAAAAATTTCAATTCCAAACATATTAGCAATCTCCTTTACTTTTTCATATATTACATGAAATTTTTCATCCACATTCTTTCTGATATTTGTTGATATTTCAACAATATCCTTTGCTCTATTCATAATCTTCCTTAAATCCAAATCAATTTTTTGTAGCAGTTTGCTAAAATCATATGTATAATTAAATAAAAAATAAACATATTGAATTGAAAATAAAAACTGTGGCTTAATAATAGCCTGCAAAAGATTTTCAGCATCTGCTATCTTTTTCCTTGCTTGATATATAAAATTCTAGTGCTGCAAAGACAACATCATATATTTCAATAAAGAGTTTCACCGACTCTTGTCTTTCGATAAATCTGGTCGGACAAAATCTTTTTAGTTTTTTTTTTGATTTTTTGAGTCAATATCATGATACGTTTTAATAAATAACTCCCAATAGCTGCAAACAAAATAAATATATACGTATATCTATTATTATTTATAATAAATTGAAAACATAAAAATCAAGCGTTTATTAAGAATTTATTAAATTAAAATTAAAATTTTTAAAAAATAAAATAAATTTTTAAAAAATAAAATTTTTAAAAATAAAATAAATTTTTAAAAAATAAAATTTTATAAAATAAATTTTTAAAAAATAAAATTTAAAAAAAATAAAAGAATTTTAAAAAAATAAAATTTAAAAAAAATAAAATTTTAAAAAAATAAAATAATTTTTTTTAAAATTTTTTATGGGGGGGGGGGGGAAGGGGGGTATGCCACTGGGAGTAGGGTTTGAGGTTCGGCCCAAAACCCTTCATAAAAGAAAATAAATAAAAAAATTAGGCTTTTTTCCACTAAAATTGAATTCATTTGAGATCCTGATCAAATTACAATCTAAGTTGTCAATTTTGATCTCTTAAGTCTCAAAATCTGAAAATTATATAATAAAATAAGCTATTTTTATTGTAAAATCAAAAATAGTATTCTAAAATCATTTTTCGTTATTTACAAATTAGGCGGAGCTAATGTTTGGGATTCACGAATTGTCGTTTAGAAGAAACAAGTTTAAAAAAACATTTTGAGGTAACTCAAGGAGAGAAGGAATACTTTTTTAAAGATCAGAAACCCTGATTGTCCTATTGCTGCAGATCCGTCAAATTATTTTTTGTTTTTTTTACAAAAATAATGGAATGGGTAATTTGACGAATAAACTAGTAAAGAATATTAAAGTATTTGTTAGCATTGTTATTTTTTGTTTTTTTTCAGTTTTTTCCAATTTTTTCCCGTTTTTTTTCCGTTTTTTTGTTTTTCTTTATTTTAATTCTTACAAAACATTATTTTTTTATTTTTTTTTTAAAAATGGAAGATTTAGGACATGTTTCATAATTTTATTTAATTTGCAAAAATTTATAAATTTTGAGGTTTTTATTTTTCAAAACATTTTGGACACAGCCTAAATAAAATTTTTTTTTTTTATTAGGGTTAACAATAAAAACTAAAGAAATAAATTAATCAAAAAAAATTCTTGCGACCTAAGAATAGTGTTGTTAAAAAGCCTAATTTGGCCCTCTTTTTCAAAACGAAACAATCTAGAGTTAAGATTTTAGCTAAAAATTTATCTTATGAAAGCATAGAGATTTGGTAGACTGGATGTCCAAAAGCATTTCTCCCAGCAACGAGCTAAATCATTAGGCTTTGTTATTTTGATTTAAAATCTTAAAGGGGCCGTTTTTTTAAAAATCGACAAGAATTGGTTTTTTTAAAAATAACACTACCAAAGAACCATCTTAAAATCGCCTTACATTGAAATTATTTTTATTTCTAGAAAATAATGGACAAATTTTTTAAAAGAACTAGAAAGATTTATTTCTACTTATAGTAGAATCACCCAACTTATCAAATTTGAACAAAAATTCCTTAATGAGTGCCCAAATTAAAAAAAAGCTCAACTGTTATAAAAATAAAAAACTTTTGTTTATTATTCATTCATTTGTTATTGTGAAATGATAGTGAAATGATAATATCTATATAATATAAATAAAACGACGTGTCACAATGTAAATACTATTTAGCCAATGGTATTCTTTTAAAAAAAAATATAAGTCCAATAAAAATCATCATAGCTTATTCGGTTCCAGATATTATCATACCATATTAAACATACATTCACCAAAGCTAACAGTAACATCTTATACATCATAAACACACATATATTTTACGAGAAATCTTAAATCTTATATTAATATTACACTTAATTAATAGGTATTATATTACACTTCTTAGTTTTTTTTATCTTATAGGCAATGGTACAATTCATATTATAAAAATAACAAAACCAAGTTAAATTTTTTTAATTTAATTACTATTTTATTAATTTTTTTTTAGATTCCTGCACAAGATACCATTCAACAAAACAGAATTTCAATATCAAAAATACAAAAAATTTTTTAATTTTTTTCAAAATTAATCAGGAGAATACTATAGAAATGGACAGGCACTTTGCCATAGCGAGAAAAGGCAAGAGCAAGGTCTTATTGCTTCAACATTCAATCATCTTGAAGATACGGGAAAATAAACAATCAAATTGTAGTAGCAATGAAAATCAAGAGCAAGGTTATTATTGCTTCAACATCCTTAACTAAATTTTATATTCTTTTAAATTTTTTATTTTTATTATGGATTTGGAAAAATTTATTCAAAATTATTATATGTATTAGATGTGGCTTGAGAAAAAATTTAAGGTTTAAATCTAAACCAAGACCTATACAAATTTCTTATTTTGATTATGTTCTATGCTCATTATTTCAAAATATTTATGAAATTTTATTTTTATTTAATACGATTATAAATATAAATGTAAAAATTTTTCAAAAAGATATAATATAAAATATTTAAATATAAATAAATGTAAAAATTGATTATATATCTTAAACGATTTTTAATAATAATATATAATCAAAAAATTAAGTAATAAAAGAATTTCCTCAAGATGGCGTATTTTATTCTATTTTTTTCTTATCTTTATGGCCTGGGCACGATATAGCGAAGACCGAAACAGCGAAAATCAGGGAACATTATGGCGAAAATTTTTGATATGAGAAAAGTATATAATTAGTTTTAATGAAATATTAATAATTTAATGTGATACAGTAAATTAATAGAATAATTTAGGAAACAAATTCAATTCAGTTTACAAGCAACTTTCTCATAAGAGATACTCATGAAAGTATAAATTTTTTAGCAATTGACTTTAGAAATTTAGATGATTTTAGGCCCAAATTTAATTCAGCCAACCTAAAATGCAAAAAGAAGATACAGAGGTCATGCTTACTTCTGCTGAAGTTATAGATTTATTTTTTTTATTATATTAAATTAAATTTCTTAGTTGAAAATAATTCAGCTTGCAAATGATAATAAATCAGCAGGAAAAGCAGCTATTGAAGATTATTATTATATGAATATAATATTCCTTTTTTTTCAACCCTTTAAATAAACATAATTAATAAATCTATTTTAGATGATTGTCATTTTCCAATAGATAACCTGTTAATATTTTATGAATGCATTTTGTATTATGATTGTGTTATTATAATATTATATATTATTCAGTGCAAATATAAATGATCAATCTGTCTATGCAGTGTATACTTAAATTTGAATGTAAAAGTTATTATTTAAAATATAAATAATTAAAAAAAACCCTTTATTTACTAATATTAAATTAAATTTCTTAGTGGCAAATAATTCAGCTTGCAAATGATAATAAATCAGCAGGAAAAGCAGCTATTGAAGATTATTATATGAATATAATATTCCTTTTTTTCAACCCTTTAAAATAAACATAATTAATAAATCTATTTTAGATGATTGTCATTTTCCAATAGATAGACTGTTAATATTTTATGAATGCATATTGTATTATGATTGTGTTATTATATTATTATATATTATTCAGTGCAAATTGATTCTGTCTATGCAGTGTATACTTAAAATTGAATGTAAAAGTTATTATTTAAAATATAAATAATTAAAAAAAACCCTTTATTTACTATGAATAAATTTTTATAAGAAAGAAAGATATATTGTTTGCCATGCTTTTAAATTAAATTTACAAAAAATCAGTATTTATAAATTGAAAATATATAAATACCATATTTAGGATTTAAAAATGATTCATATTATATTAGGCAAGGCAATAACAATTGTGAAAAAATTAATAACATATTTATTGGTCAGTTATTTTGTATAAATCAAAATGATTCATATTATATTAGGCAAGGCAATAACAATTGTGAAAATATTAATAACATATTTATTGGCCTATAAGTTATTTTGTATAAATCATTTTTATAATATATTTTAAAAAATTAATATTAAACATTATATTTAATTAAAAATACAATAAATATACAAAATATTACTATTTTATTGATAATATTTAAAGATAGAGTTTATGTAATGGCCATACATTATTAATGTCATATACAAAAAATTAATATTAAACATTATATTTAATTAAAAATACACTAAATAAACAAAATATTAGTATTTTATTGATAATATTTAAAGACGATAGAGTTCATATAATGGCCATACATTATTAATGTCATATACAAAAAATTAGTATTCATAAATTGACAATATATAAATACCATGATAATAATTTAATTTATTTAGAAAAAATTAACATATTTAATAATATACTAAATAAATTAATAATAGATATAATATTATTTTATGACTTTTTAGTGGAGTTATACATAATGGGAACATTTTTTATTTTTCGCTATTCTGATTTTCGCTGTTTCGTAACGAATTCAGTAGCACTGAAAATCAAGAGCAAGGTATTATTGCTTCAACATCCTTAACAGTAAATTTGATATTCTTTTTAATTTTTATTATATAAACTGGTTACCAACTTTTTTTTTATAAATTATTATGGGTTTGAAAAAATATTCTCAAAATAATTATGGTCTCGGACCTTACTTGGGATTTCTTTTAATATTAAATATGCCTAGTCCATGTCGGGTCCTGATAAAAAAAACCAAGACCTATATAAATTTCTTATATTTTTTTCTTCTGGTCATAGGTTACTATATTTGAATAATAGCTGATATAATATGTTATCAAAATATAATAGTATATAATTAATTTTTTATTTTTTTAAAAAAAAGGTAAAAAATATAGAAATAGAGCTTACGGAAAAGGATAAGGAATAAAAAAAAAAGAAAGCTAGGGTGAGAAGAGATAAGGCATAGACATGGAAGGTTATTCAATGAAGAGATAAAACTTAGATAGTCAGAGCGAATAATGACGGTAGCAAGACTTTGTCGTAGGAAGAGTGATTCCTTAGGCTGATGGGGTTTTTCAAGAATTCGGTGGGAGCAGACTCGTAACCGGGAGAAGAGTCGTGATGGAAAGATAGAACAGATTGGCGCACCTCGGCGAGGGTGAAATAAGTAGGAAAAATATTGAGCGGAGGGGGAGGTATGAAATCACCTCCGGAAAGGTGCTTTAATTTAAAAGTTTGTTGAAACATTCTTTATTACTAGTTGCAAAATGAGTCGTCAGAAGTTAGTAAGCGGAGAGCGGATTTGATGCTTAGGTTTTTTATTTTGTTCGAAATTATCTTCGCCTTTGATTGGAGGCTGGAAAGTTTTTTAAAAAAGGGTTTTGGCTACTTGTACTCCGGAATCTTTAGGAATTCTAGAGGTAATGGGAGGTTTGTCGGATTTTAGGAAGTTAATGATATCGCCATGAGTGGTAGGTGGGAGGGGAATAAATGTGTCTAATGTGGTTGGTATGTAGGCGTAATGGGATGAGGTGGAAGAATGGCTGAGTGGAAAAAATGGAAAGGGAATTTAGGAAGGGAGGAAAAGGACCCTTTCCAGACTCAGGACAAACGATGCGATTGGTTTTGTGCAAACCTTTCATTGAATTTATGCTGTTTAATTAATGTAATTGTATTTATTTGAATCTTTCTTTCTTTCATATTAATTTACAGCCTAGCTTGGAATATTTAGACAATATTTTTTTAAAGGGTTTTAGCAGGAGTAGTCAGAAACTATAGTCTTGATAAAATATTTTAAATTCGTGATAACACGTTTTATAAATTATACAAAAATTTATTGATTGTTTTCCAAAAAGTAGGAAACAAGAAATAAGATACATTGATTATCTTATATTTTAAAATGCATATTGATTTTAACCTACAATATTTCGCGTATTTATGAAATTTTATTTTATTAAATACGCTTATAAATATAAATCACAAGATATAAAATATTTTATAGAGATATAATATATAAATAAATGTAAAAATTAATTATATATATTAAACAATTGCTATAATAATAATTTATAATAAGAAAATAAAGTAATAAAATAATTTCCGTAAGAGGGCGCATTTATTTAATTTTTTTAAATTTGTCTATTATATTTATATAACAAAAAATATCGGAATAAATTTACAACGGAATATGAATATGAATATATATTTTCATAATATAAAATGATATAAATTTAAAATTCATGTTTGCTTTTTTCAAATTTTTTTTTTGGAAGAATAGATAAATTGATAAATTATCAAAATGAAAGAAATATTAAATAATCCCATTATAATTCATTGAAAATAATAGACATTTAAAACATATTTATTTTTAAATTTAAAACTTTCTTTTCTCTCAAAATGATGAAATAAGATGCTTTTTTATAGGAACTGATGGAAACACAGTGGCAGGCCATAACTACTAAATTTTATTTATGACAAATAGATGAAATTAACATTATCTTGAAAACATCTTAAATTTTAAGTTTATTTAATATTATAAAATAATATAAATTTGAATATAAAATAAAATGAAATAAGTTGGTAAAAATTACGATATATTTTATACAAGGTAAATCAAATATTATAATTGTTATAAGTTATTTTAATTAATATTATAATTTATTTAAAATTAATTTAAAATTATAATTTTATATTTATTATTATTTTTTTAAATTTAATTTTAATTAATATATTATTTTATTTTAATTTATTAAAAACGTCATCTATAACAAGAACTATGAGTATTAGATTAATATTTGGAAAATTAATAAGGGAGACTTAATCCCGGATCTAGCATAGGCTATATTTTTTATTATTGATTGGAAAACCTAGATAATTTTTTAAAAAAGGATACTCATTTAGATTCAAAGCAGCATCCTATTTTATATAATATTAAAGTGATCAGGCATAAATAGAAAAAAGGAAGTCGGGAGTTAATAACATTATATCTGTAAATTAAAAAATAGTAAAAATTATATACGTTGAAAAAAAATAAAATAATATTAATTAAAATGATACTTTTACTTCATGATAATAATCATAAAAATCATCCAGATCTTTTATTAATACTTTAATTCATTTAAATTAATAATCAAAGAAAAAATATATATACGGCATTGTGTTATTTTTTCAACTTTATAATCATTTTTTGAATTTAAATATCAGATTTTATCTGAAATGTATTGTATAATGTTTGGAATATCTACTTTATGAATTTCATATAATTTTGCCATGAACTATTGAACTTACTACTATAATTTATATTTCGTTTTTTCGTAAATTTTTTTTATTATAATAATGGCAACTTTGTTTTGAATTCATAAGATAGGCATTGTAAGCTTGCTAAAATACATTTCAAGTAAAATGATTTAAAGTTGAAAAAAACAACACATTACCGGAAAAAACACGTTACCGCTAACATATATACTTTTAATTATTATTTTAATATAGTAATGCATTTTGAATTAATTAAGGTATTGGATTAAATGAAACTTATTTCTTCCATTGAAATTACCAACATATATATAGGCCATTTAGATTTAGTTTGTTTTATTATAATAGTGATACATTGATTAGAAGCGAAAATACGCAATAATTATTTGTAGATAATTTTTTTTTATATAAAAAAAAATACAATTTTATAATAAATTTAAACATTTCATAGTTTCACGATCGTAATTAAGATTATAAAATTTAAAAGCCAAATATCCTTAGCTTCCAGAATATTCGATTTGCTAGGTACATCCTCCTCTACCGTGCTTTCATTTTCAGCATCAGTCAGAGGGTGACACGACGTTACTTCAGTCGTTTCGAGTGGCGGGGTACAAGTTTCAGCTGTTGTCGTTTCTGTTGTGGTTTCGGTTGTGGTTCCTGTTGTCAAGGTCGGACAAGCAACAGGGGTTGTTGTTTCTGTCGTAGTTTCTGTCGTGGTTTCTGTTGTCAAGGACGGGCAGGAAGCAGGGGTTGTTGTTTCTGTAGTGGGTTCTGTAATGGTTACTGTTGTCAAGGACGGGCAAGCAGCAGGGGCTGTTGTGAGTGTAGTTGTTTCCGTTGTAGTACTGACGTACCCGCAACTGTGAGTTACATACGAATTTGTATCAGTATTTGTTTCAGTACTAGAATCGCTACCACTGTCAGTGCTAGTATCAGTATTAATATCGGTATTAGTATCGTAGGTGTTTGTATCGTAGGTATTAGT